TCACAGAAAGTCTCTGAGAACTGCCGCAATGTACTGCCGCTGTACGAGCCTCGAAACCACAATAGATGAGGACTGCCGCATCCACCGTTTGTGAGTCACGTTTCGGAAACGGCAACAGAGCACGCGTGCTGGCATGTACACCCCCTCTCTTGGAACCTTTGTAGCCGCTGCTGCTGCTCCTGCTGTACGTGTACACACCCCAAACTGTATTCTTCAGGATCAGCAAAAACAAGTAGTATGTTTACCTTTTACGTCGCCTCTCTCTTGAAAACGTGCCCGCTTGCTGCTGCTGTACTTGTGCACACCCCAAACTGTATTATTCAGGATCGTCAAAACCTAACCTCTTCTCTTGAAAACGTTCGCGCCTGCTGCTGCTTCTGTACTTGGTGCCACACATTATGCAACCTTGATTCCTTCAGGATCGGCCCTGCAGGCGTCAGCTCCGGGGTGTCCCTGCGATCCCTTCCCCCGGCCCGCCTGGAAGACCTGACGAAGATCTGCCAGCACTATGAGGAGAAGTGCAGCGGCGTCTACGCCAGCGACTCCGCGGCTGCCAGGTGATGACTTTTGAATTTTTTGTTTTTTCAGCAAAGAGTTCGTTGCCCGGATGACATTTTTTTTTTTTTTTCTTGAAAACGCCCACACGGGTATAGTTTTAGCCGAGGGTGGGGATACCGTGTTCGACACAGGATAACACACCCGGTGGACCGATTTTCAAAGCTCGATTTTTCAACAGCAGGAAGAGGATGCATAAACGAAACGATACATATTCGGGAACCTTTCGACGAGATGGCCTCAACGCCGCCGTTTTCGGTGGTGCGACTCTTTCTGCTGTTGAGAAATCGGGCTTTGAAAATCGGTCCAGGGTGTGTGTTATAGACGAATGGTCGCTGTATAGGTTTTAGTGTGGGGGTTCTTAACCGTGGTATATAGGTTTTAGTGTAGGAGGCTCTCAACCGAGCTCACAAACGGTGCTCAAGTTCTCATCTATTGTGGTTTCGAGGCTCTTCAGCTATTATACCATGTTCTCGAGTGCGGGGCCTAACTTTTTATCATAATTTCCCCGGGCACAGGCATGAACTGTGGTGGTGCTGTTCTAGGTAAGACCCGCAGCCTGGAAAAGCTTGCATGTGTTCGTACTGTTCGTTCTGGCGCCAGTCTACACGCCTCTCGTTGTATTCGTTTGATAATGATGTGCAGAGGTGTAAATTGTTGTTTGGCCTTGTTAGCTTTTTTTTGCTTGTGCAGATTTGTTGTTGTTGTTGTTGTTGATGATGGTTTTTGTGTTAGTGCAGCCTGTTTGTTGCTGGTGTTGATTTTTTTGTGGTCCCCTTCACGAATCATTGTCTTTCTACCACCTCTTTGTTGCGCAGGTACCTGTTTCAGCTCTCCCGCGAGGTGCAGCAGGTAGCGGCCGCCTTGGAGCAGGACAGGTCCAGTCAGACTCTCGGCAACCTTCAAGCGGAACAGCTCCTCGAGGTCGGATGATGTGGTGTAATGTTTTATGTATATGTGGTGCTTGTTGTTCCCCTCAGGGTTGGACGATGTGATAATTCATATTCATGCTAATATTGTCCTTGTTTTCCTCTTAAGGTCAGATTGATATGATGTGTTCTCCAAGCGGTGTTCCTCGTTTTGTCCCTCACGGTGGTATGATGTGATGTGATGTTTGTTCTGTGCATTTGTTCCTTGTTTTTCTCGCAAGGTGAGACGATGTGGTGCTTCGTCTGTGTGTTGCTCGCTTCTCTTTTCGTTTTTATTTCTTCCACCAACTCCTTGGGTGATGTAGTCGTCCTGCATACCTACAGGAGGGTCGCCTCTCCCGAACCGCAGCACCAGGATGAAACGGAACCATCACCTGAACAGAGCACCGAGCACAGATCATAACGCAAACCGTACCACGAGCATGGCACCGTCAGCGGAACCCAACACGAACCGTAGCACGAACCGCAACACGAGCGTGGCACCAACCGTCACCGAAACCGTAACCGCCACCGTAACCGTAACCTGCAGGAATGGAACGAGTCCTTCGGGCCTGACGCCCCCCTGCTGAGAGATGCCGCCTCCCTGGGAGTTCCGCTTTCGGCGGGAGTCGTGGGATCGGAGACTGGGGACGGAGGGGCGGGAGAGACAAAGGTACAGGAGGTTTTGTTGTTGTTGTTGTTGTTGGTGAATGGTGGTGGGGGTGTTGTTGGTGTGGGGGTTGTTGTTGTTGTTGTTGTTGGTTTTGTTATTGACGTTGGTGCTGATTGTTAATGGTGGTGGTGGAGTGTTGTTGTTGTTGTTGTCGTTTTGGTGGTGGTAGTGTTGTCTCTGTGGGCCACGACAACCACGACAGAAATGCCAAACGCAAGGGCGGGAGAGAAAAAGACTAGCTGTTGTTGTTGTTGTTGTTGTTGTTGTTGTCGCTGTTGTTTGTCTATGTGGGAGTTGAGACATCGGGAGTGGCGCGAGAGTTGGCCTATCAGAACGGAAATAGGCCTAGGGTATGTGTGGTATCTTACACGAACGGCAGTGGATGTATTGGTGCATCGTAAGGCACACGAGATGAGGCATCAATGAACCCTGCTGCTTCATAGGGTACGACATGATAGAGGACCCTTCTATCGAAGTGTTTATGGTCGTCCTTGCTTTGGGCCATACTGCGAAAAATGTATATGTACAGTATAGATTATATATATTTTTGTAATGCTCGTGAAAATCAGCAGGGAGACAATGACGCCAGCAGCGACGGCAACACAGGCGGAGGAGGAGCGGGGGGAGACGCGGAGGGGCTGAGGGGGGGGGTGTCCCCGGGAAAGGTGGCGGAGGCGCTGCGGCAGCTGGCCAAGCGTGCCGAGGATGCGGAGAGGGGATCAGACGAGGCGACGAAAGACCGAGGTATTTTTTACGATTTTTGGATACACTACCCTTTCCTCCACTCTATTTTTTGTATATTACCAAGAAAACGACAGCGAAAATATCAGGCAATCGCCTACGGCGAACAGGCCTAGGTGTCTGCTGACTGGTGTAGAGATGCCTGTTTTGTGCCGGCACTTCTCCAGACCCGCCGGCGCGAGAACAGGGGTGTACCTATCATATGGTAGGTTTTTGTTTTCGGAGAGGATACTCGTGCCCAGAGATTTGATGGGTTTGGCCGGCAACATACTTGGGCATCGGCACTGTTTAACCGAAACTAAATACTACAGGGATCTCTGGTCTATCTCATTTTGCTGCGACTTGTTGCTTCCACCGAAATCGAGGTATGCTGTATCTGTCTGCTGTCGCAAGCTTGTAGATTTACAAGAGCACGCAAGAAAGGAAAAAGGGTTGGAACAACCCTGGCTACCCTTTCCGGACAGAGCGCAGGTCGCAATATTTGCGATTGTTTGTGCTTTTTTTTTGTGTATAAGGAGGCCGTGCTTTTGTGGCGAAGTGAGAGGATTTCCCGGACAGAGCGCCGGTCGCAATATTTTCGATTGTTTGCTTTTTTTGTGTGTACAAGGAGGCCGTGCTTTCGTGGTAAAGCGAGCGGATGGGAAGGGTTTTACCAGCGGGAGCCGGCCTTGAGCGTAGGTGTCCCGCTTTCATTGAAACTTTTTCAGAAAGTCTCGCGCGAAGTCTTTGGTCTCAAGTCTCGAACGCGGTGGGTTTGTTCACGAGACGTTGTGTGTAGTCTCGAACACGGCCAACCCTTTGGAGGGACTGTAGCCCCTCGACCAATGGCTAACATTTCTGCGACACTTTTTTGGGGGGTAGGGACTTGGTACATACTAGGAGGGTGAACCGTTAAGACGGTGGTCTTATATGCATAGTCATGAAGGCGTTGAGTCTTTAGTATCGAAGACATTGCGCCTCCCGTCGTTTGTAAGCCATGGTTCTTATCTTGTGCTCGTGTTGTTTGCCGTTGTTGTTGCCATGTCGGCGTCGTTGTCGTGCCATGTCGGCGGCAGCCTCTTCGGTTGCAGGGCTGCGGGGTGCTCTGGATGCTCACGTGGCCGTATCAGCGGAGAGCAGTGCGGCGGATAGACACATGCACCAGCAGGAGCGTGCTGCGCTTGTAGACCAGCAGGAGAAGGTGGGTGCTGCTGGCGTCGTGGTGGCGGCTGTTGTTGTTGTTGTTGTTGATGATGCTGCTGCTGCTGTTGGTGGTGGTGGTGGTGGTGGTGATTGTTGATGTCGTTGCTGTCGACGTTGTTGTTGTTTTGTTTTTGTGTTCCTGTTGGTATGCATATGCGTGCCCTTGTTCTGGTTCCAGCGTTCGTGAGTTTTGTTCGGAGATGTTGTACGGTCAGCAGCGAACTGTCACCTTTTTCTGCGATGATGCATACATAAGCGTGTCCCCCTTACCCATCCACCTCAATCAGCACACAAGTGACCCCCCCCCCCCCCCGATCCCCGAACCCTCGTCACGGTCACGGTGCCCCCTAATTCTAGTTCGTGCGAGACCTTCGGGAGCAGCACGACCAGACCATCCAGCAGATCCTTATGGAGAAGGTGGGTCGACGTTGTTTGGTGCGGTGCATGCATGCTGCTGTACGGGGAATCAGGAGCGAAAATCGACCGACTAAATAACCCACCGGTATACGCTACGGGAAGAGAAGTGAAGCTCGAGGGTAACTCGCCGGTGTACGGTACGGGAAAACCAGAGAGGCTCGAGACTACCCCGTGGGCATTACGGGCCGCCGCCTGTTCCATGGAAAACACTGTCCGGGCCCGGCACCCCCGCTTTTGTACCATGTACCACGAGGCCATCGGATGGTATTGACAGCCGGCAACAGCAGCGAGACCATCGGATGGTATAGATAGCCGGCAGCAGCATGTACGGCGAGACCATCGGATAATCTAGATATCCGGCATCATGTACATGTACCGCGAAACCGTGGGATGGTCTAGAAAGCCGGCAACAACATGTGCTGTACCGCGAAACCGTAGGATTGTTTAGACAGACCGCAACATGTACCACGAAACCGTGGGATTGTCTAGATACCCGGCAACAACATATACCGCGAAACCGTGGGATTGTCTAGCCAGCCGGCAACAACCCCGGCGTTGGGCGTCAACACACGTGTGACGAGCGACGAACAACATGTGCTCGTGAAACCTTTCTCGATTGGTGTTTTTGCGCGTGGTCACGACTTGTTGCTCTTGAGAGCGAGTCCGATGTGGTGACATGACCCAACTACATGTAGTGGCTTGGGCATGGTTAGGTTGCTTTTTTCTCCGCCTTTTTTTTTTTTGTTGCCTTTGAACTCCATTTTTTCAGGAAGACGGTCTTGCCTGTGCTCACTGAAATTGTTCCTCCTGAGATGGGGGTCCGATGTGGTCACCGAAACACAATACCGTAGGTCGCATACGTAAGTAAGATACCACGCCCCCTGGACCGATTTCGAAACCTCGACTACTCAACGACCAAGACGATGCTGAAATCAAATCATACGTTTTCGGAAATCTCTCGACGGGACGGTTCCAACGCCGCCATTCTCGGCGCCGTCACTGTTTTTCCTGCCGAGGAATCGAGCTTTGAAAACCGGCCCAGGGGGTGTGATACCTTGTGCAGCCTAAACTACGGTACTCTCTTGTTAGCTTGGACGACATGTGTTTTTTTCTTCTCGTCCGTCACTTTTTTTTTTTTTTTTTTGTAATCTCCTTCTTGTTGTCATTAATTTCTCCTCAGGACGTTGAAAACAGCAAGTGCACGGAGTCCTTCAAGAAGCAGCTCAACGAGGTGCAGCTAGAGCTGCTCAACAACAGGCAGCACATGATCAACACAGAGGCGCAGGTATGTCGTGCGTTCTGTGCTACGACAACACGCTGCTATTTTTTTTTGTTGCTGGGCACAGCGATGGAAGGAACGTAGTCGTTAGGCCAAACGTTTTTTTAGTGGCGTTCGCCGCTGTAAGAATGAATGTAACAGAATGAATTTCCAGATTTTTCGACAAGGCGCGCAATTCGGAGTGGGCTCATCATCAAAGCATGGCAGTAGTGTCATCGAGGCGCGATACAAGATGAAAGTAGAGCTTTTTGTTTTTTTATTCTCCCATCATTGGACTCTGTCGTCTGCCCCTCTGGCCCCCATCCTCCACTTCTACTAGCTGGACGACCCAACCGGGGTCACATAGGAGGGGGGGGTTGGACCCCCTCCTGCGGTTCCTGCCTGAGATTGAGCATGTGTTGTTGTGACTCAAGGGCCAGCTGCCGTTGGTGACGTCTCCCACGCACGGCTGGTGTGCTTTTTGACTCGAAGAATCCAGCGAACGAACGAACCCCAAAGAACCAAAAAGAAACAGTTGGCAGACTCGTACAAATCTGTACAAAATCTTGTTGCATGGCCTTTTGCGTTGGTTTTGGGCGCAAGGAGCCCGGCTCAACCGTAGCGCAACCCACGATGCCGGCGGGGCCAATCGCACGTTCCCCCCTGCATCAGGTGGTTAGTAGGATAGGGCAAATCGATGACAAGATGCGCTGTTACGTAGCTTCTTTTTTTTTTTTTGTGTAGTCGACGACGATGGTGTAGGCAGTTCAACAACGAACATGTGTGTTTGAGTGGGTCACGATCTTTTTCCTCCCGTCGTGTTGCTGGTAGTGGCGCAAGCGTCTGGAGGAGCAGGAGCAGCGGGAGAGCGGCGAGATGATGAGGATGAGAGAGGCGTTTCAAGACGAGCTCGCTAGGTGAAAACGGCCTTGCTTGGATTCTGTACTGGGAGGGGCAAGATTAGCATGATGAGTTGTAGTAACGGTAGTGGTAGACGTGGGGCACTGCAGTGGTGTGGTGTGACAGCATCAGCATGCGTGGCCGCAGTATCTCTCTCTCTGTGGGTCTCTCTCTCTCTCTCCCTCCCTCCTTCCCTCCCTCCCCTTCTCTCCACGCACCATCTACACCATACCCTTCCCTTCCCGTTGCTCTCTGTCTTTTCTGTCTCCACAGCGTCAAGAGCGACCTCTCCACGGCCCACGCGGCCATGGGCGGCCTGGGCGCCATGGGCATGGCCGACGGCCGACGGGGGGGCGCCGTGGGTACGGTGACGGGAGGAGGGGGTGGGGGTGCGGGCATGCCCCCCGGGCTAGACGGGGTCGACAGCAGCGACAGCGCTGACCACAAGGTGTGTGGAGGGATGCGGTGCGATGGATGGGAACCCCCTTTTTTATTGGGGACCCTTTTTTTTTTTTCGTGGCGGGGGCCGCCGTTCTATGTTTTCTGGAAGCCTCTTGTTTTTTTTAATGGGGGGACTTTTTTTTTCATGGGGCGAGGCGCGTTTTATGTGTTTTGGAAGCCTTTTTTGTTTTTTGAAGGGGAGCCGTTTTGTTGTTTTGTCACAGAGGGGAAGTGTTTTATTTTCGAGGAATGTTGCATTAGGCGGGCGGGCGAGCGGGCGGGCGGGCGGGGCGGGGCGTGTGTTTGAGGTTATTCACAAAAACAAGAAGCAGGTACGGCGGCATTCATTCCTATGCAAGTGAAAACAATAACAATTGCCTGCACTGCTCGTGTCCACGGCGATGGCACGCGGACATGTGATACGTATGCCATCATTTTTTTATTTTTTGTTCGTAGTAACACAGGACGAATCCATATCTATCGATAGACTAAAAGTCCAGGATAAATTTGCCATTATACTTGTACTTCGAAGTTAGTTTTTTTTTTAGGTGAGATGACATGTTTTTTTCCCTGTTTTTTTTCAGGCGCGAAGGTGATGTTTTTTTCACAATTGAAAGAAGAACTTCATGTTCTCTTCTTTTTGCTTTTATTGTTCAGGTGAGATCGCTGTCGCTTCTGGTGGAGGAGGCGAAGAAGGAGAGCCGATGGCTTCGGGAGCGCAACCAGGAGCTGGAGAGGGTGGTAGAGGCGCTTCGGAAGACCATCATGCGCCAGGCGGAGCTGTCCAGCCAGAGGCAGGACCAGCAAGGTGCCTGTGTTGTGTGTCGGGAATACAGAAATCGCCCGCACTTTTACCGTATAGCAGTATGACACAAGATAACACGCACACCCTGGACAAATTGTCAAAGCTCGACTACGCCACGACGAAGAGGATGCATAAATGAAACAATACGTTTTCGGAGAGCTCTCGACGAGATGGCCTCAACGCCGCCGTTTTCGGAGAGATGGCTGCAACGCCGCCGTTTTCGGAGAGACGGCTTCAACGCCGCCGTTTTCGGTGGTGCGCCTCTTTCTGCTGTTGAGAAATCGGGATTTGAAAATCGGTCCAGGGGGTGTGTTATCTTGTGTCATTCATAATCTTGGTTCGTATTAGTTCCTAGGGTCATGCTACGAATGGTCGCTATACATGTATATATATATATATAGGTTTTAGTGTGGGGGTTCTTAACCGCAGTATATGGGTTTTAGTGTAAGGGGTCCTTTACCGAGCTCATAAAATGGTGCTCAAGCTCTTAGGTTTTGTTTTGATTTTTTCGAGGCTGTGTCAATTTCTTGGCTGCCAACTTCTGAGGTGCGGGCGCTTTCTGCAAGTCTTTGCTTGTGGATGCATGGATTTAAATACTGTTTTGAATGTGTCGACTTTGTTTGCATCGACCGCGCTTACCGGCTGGGCAGTGAACATACGCCAGTCTCAGTGCGGCTGAAAACGGAGTGCATAGCTTGCATGCATGTTGCGTGTCTGTGTCTTGCGTGTGTCTATACTGGCTATCATCGAACGCGCTAACCGGCTGACCAAAAGTGTCACGACGAAAAGGATGAGTGGCCCGTTGGTTCGATTACTTCTATTGTCCGATTGGTTCTAAACGGTGAACAACCAGCAACATTTGATCCTGTTGAGGACAGACAGCCTTTAACCACACCCGCGACCACGGAAAAAAACTTTCACCCCTCGTTCTCCACCCCACCCGACCCAACGTCTAACGGAACGTGTAACGGAACGTCTAACGCCTCCAGGGACAGGCCCGGGTCAACGACCTCCGTCCCACGCGTTCAGGGGTGGTCGCCAGCAGTTCCAAGAACACCCTTCGTCGTTCGGAACTACCGCAGGGTTTCCGGCGGGGTGCGTTTTTTTGTTGTTGTGCTTTCGTGTTTTTTTTTTTCTTGTTTTATCGTGTTTTTTATTTCTTGTGGTCGGTCAGTGCGTTTTATTCACGTACTCGTTTGTTCTTCTTGTGAGGCTCCTGTCTTTTTGCTCCTCGAATCGATCCTGTGCCGAGTTTTAAGCAAGGCGGTTTTTGCCCTTTCCGCCTTTCAATTTTTTTTTTTAATATTTTTGATCGTGCCGTGTCTCATTTTTCTTGGGTACATATTTTTTAACCTTGGCCCGGAGAAGTTTTTTTTAAGTCGTTGAAGCTGGAGACTCGTCTCATGTTCTCATTCCTATGTCCCCGCGCACTTTCGCCGTCTATGTCCCCTTTGGGCTGGCTGTATAGTGTCAAAGGTCCCCCGGTAGCGGGTGGAGGCAGGGGTACCGGCGGGGTGGGCAGGGACGAGGAGCACTTGCTCTTGCAGCAGCGGCAGCAGCTGCAGCAGCAGCAGCAACGCGCCGCCGCGGCAGCTGCTCTTGCGGCAGGGGGCAGGGGACAACACGGCGACGACGCTTACCTTCTGGCTCGCCAGCAGCAGCAGCAGCAGCAGCAGCAACAGGTAACGAACGGCAGGAGATGACTGCTGTGGGTGCAGAGCATTTTTGAGTACTTGTGTTTGAGAGACAGGCTGTAGTAGCCGCCCCGCCGGGGTAGCAGCAGGAGTAGATAGCTGCTGTGGCGCAGAACAGGTTTCACGTTGAAGCGTTAAGAGCAGGTATTTTTGGGCCCACCCAGCAGCAGCAGTAAATAGCAGCAGCAAAGCGCGCTATTATAGCAGATCGTTGGATCATGTAAATCCAGCAACAGGGGAGAGTTTTTTTCCCCACCCTTTTGAGCCACCTTTGGCGGGTTAGGAGGGGAACCATTGAACGTCGTTGATCGGTCCTGCTGTGGGAACAATGCTCCGTCCTCTCGAGGACGCGTGGTCAATGGTTTAACCGTTAAGTCATGTTAAAACATAAGAGTATACCCCTCCCCCACCTCCTCCTATGTTGTGCGGTCGATCAATTGCGGTCGGCAGCAGGCGGCCCGGGGAGTCTCGACTGGGCGGTCGGCGGCTGCCGCGGCGGCGGGTATCAGCCGCGGGGGCATGAGCGCTCGCTCTCACTTGCACCAGATGCAGCAGGTGCGTTTGTTGCCTCGTGGGTCGCGCGTTGGATCCCTCCCTTTTGTTGTTCCTCTGTGCAGATTACGGGTTTTCGTATGGAAGATGTGGCTTGGCGTGGGATTAGGCGAGGTGCCTCTATTGGAGATTGAATCAGTTCGGGACCGGCGCGTCAAGGTGTGCCCCAAACCTCGCGTGCTGCCAACCAGCAGCAGGTGGCAGCAGCTGCATACTGTAGAATACATGAAGGTATAATTATTGAATCAGGAGTCGGTGGCTGGCACAAATCCTCGTGTCTGCTCCCGTACCTTCGCACACCTCCTCAATTCTCACATCAGCACTCGATTGCTGCCTGTACCCTAGTTTGTGTTGTGATATATTTTTTTATTATATATATATTTTCTCTCCCATCATTGGACTCTGTCGTCTGCCCCTCTGACCCAACCGGGGTCGCATAGGAGGGGGGGGTTGGACCCCCTCCTGCGGTTCCTGCCTGAGATATTTTTTTCGCGAGAAGGGTACAGCAATCCCTTCCCTCGCGACTTATGAAGTCGATCTAGTTTTACTAACAACGAGCTTTGCGGCGCGTAGCTTCCAACTTAGTGATATGTACCGGCGGGTCACGACGTCTCCCTCCATTCCCTGTTGTCCATCTCAATTCCGGCTTCATTTGTCTCCATTCCGCTAGGTCTCCATTCCGCGTTCTAGGCCTCCCATCCCGCGCTGTCCGCGTAAATGTCACGGTCTCTGATCTGAATCCCGCCATGTGTGCCTCCCATCCCGCCGTCTCTGGTTCCCATCCCGCCTTGTCTGCCTCCCATCCCGCTTCGTCTGTTTCCCATCCCGCCTTGTCTGTCCCTATCCTTTACCCAGCACGCGGCCGAGGCACCCGGTCCCGCCCGCAGGTACACCACCCACGAGGGCTACGACGACAACCTCCACTACCTCCCGCCGGCCAACGCGACCTCATCCACGGCAACCACGCCGGCGCTCCGGCAGAGAGGAGACAGCCTCCACAGCCACGTCAGCAGCAGCAGCAGGGGCGTCGGCGCTGGTGGGCACGGCGGAGCAGGGGGGGGGGGTGTCGTGCAACACGGGGGCGGCGGGGGGGGGGG